AACACCGCGGTTTGGAGTCCTGTAGTCACTCGCCTGGCTTTGTCTTTGCCCCCTTTTTTTTTTTTTCAAAACTCATTCAAATACGTTTTTAAGAGAGCTCCGCCGTACGACTATTAACTCGTGAAGTGAAAAGTTGGTCAAGTGCAAATCCAAAGAGAAGTTTGAAAACGTTGCCACTTGCTTCTTCAGTCGGTTTTTACCAGCTGAGGGTTCGAGAGGTGATCGGCGCGTACAATGACGGCCTTTCAAACTCACACTGACGGAGTTGAAGCTAATAATTTACAATGCAGATGTTTTTTGCGCCTTCTTTCATAAGCAGAGACAAAACATGACATTTAAAGGGCTCATATTGTTCCAATTTCTGATCTCTTTCCTCAAAAACATACACAGAGTTGTATTTTGTTTCATCCACACAAGTTAAACCCTGCATATTTAGTCCTTAAGTCTTCTTCTCGTAACAGAAAACACTCTGTTCCACGTTGCGATGTCATGTTCCACTGTGTTTTTTCTTCATAACTTTATTTTTATTGGTTTTAAGTAACATTTCAAACCATACAAAAACAATATAAGGTAACACTTTATAATAACTACACCTTATTTAGCCTTAATAAAGCATGAACAAAGACTTAATTAATAATGATTCACGCTTAGTAACTACTTAATTATTACCTGAATTAGCACTTAACTTGAACTTAATTCGCCTGTGCTGTAAATAGTTACTCATAAGTATTTCTTACTTAATTACTCACGAACTAACCATTTGCGTGTGCATTTGTAAATGTATATTTAAGTACAAATTTGAGCATTTTATTAATGATTAGTAAAGCCCATGAGAGAATGATTGACGAACAACTTTTCAGTCAGCAGGTGTTATCAGTCAAGGGCACAGAAATCTGGAACAACATCTCAGCTGCTATAAGAGACTCCACCACATTCACTTCATTTAAAACTAATCTGAAACAATGGCTTAAAGAGAAACCAGATCTGTAATCACTAATGTTCTGCTCCTGTGTAAATGTCAGTGTCATGCTTGTGTGTTTGTCTATGTTCTTTATATTTTTATGTTTTATGTCACTATCTCTCTGACCTGCCAGGGACTACAGATGAAAAGTACCTTCAGGCTAATTCTGGCATATTTACAAGTGTTTGTTCATGAATGTGCATTGTCCCTTTTAAATAAATAAAACTTAAAAAAAAAAAAAACGGTAACACTTTATAATAACTACACCTTATTTAGCCTTAATAAAGCATGAACAAAGGCTTAATTAATAATGATTCATGCTTAGTAACTACTTAATTACTACCTGAATTAGCACTTAACTTGAACTTAATTTGCCTTTGCTGTAAATAGTTACTCATAATTATTTCATACTTAATTACTCATGGAATAACCTTTTGAGCATTTATTAATGATTAGTAAACTATGAGAGAATGATTTACTAATAATACAATGCAATGATCATTCAGGCAGCTGTTATCTGTTAGTTAAGTCTTTCTGAGAGCTTTTCTAAAGTGAAGACGAATTATGCTTTATTAAGCATTTACTAAGCGTGAATCATTTTTAATTAAATCTTTGTTCATTATTAATTAAGTCTTTGTTCATGCTTTATTAAGGCTAAGTAAGGTACAGTTATTATAAAGTGTTACCCAATATAAAATCAAAAACAATGTAACAACAGTCTGGAGTTACAGGTTCTTATTTAAACGTGTATTTGGTATTGACATTTTTATGTACTGTATTGTTTTCCTGGTGTTATTTATGAATACATTCCACTTTTCCCATTGCTCATCGTATTTGTACCTTTCAGTTTAAGATTATATGTTATTCTTTCCATCTCTGAAATATTCTCCACTATCCTGGTCCAGTCTTGTTGTGCAGGTGGATCTGGTTGTAACCAACTCTTTGTAATTCCCTTTTTAGATGCAGCTAAAAGATTTTTGTCAAATACACAGTGTTGGGGAGTAACAGATTACATGTACCCGAGTTACGTAATCAGAGTACAAATTATGAGTAACTGTATTCAGTTACAGTTACTGTTTCAGTGAGTGGTAATTGGATTACAGTTACTTTGTTGAAATAAATGGATTACATGGTGGTATTTTCCTGTTTTCACATTTTGAGCTATATCCCTTTTTTTCCCGTAATTCCACTCATTTCTGGACAATAAACCAGGTCTAAAACCAGGTCAAACTAGGTCTAAACCAGGACTAAAACCAGGTCTAAAACCAGGTCTAAACCAGGTCTAAACCAGGTCTAAAACCAGGTCTAAACCATGTCTAAAACCAGGTCTAAAACCAGGACTAAACCAGGACTAAAACCAGGTCTAAACCAGGACTAAACCAGGAACTAAAACCAGGTCTAAACCAGGACTAAACCAGAACTAAACCAGGTCTAAAACCAGGACTAAACCAGGACTAAACCAAACTAAACCAGGTCTAAACCAGGACTAAACCAGGACTAAACCAGAACTAAACCAGGTCTAAACCAGGACTAAACCAGGACTAAAACCAGGAACTAAACCAGGTCTAAACCAGGACTAAACCAGAAACTAAACCAGGTCTAAACCAGGACTAAACCAGGACTAAACCAGAACTAAACCAGGTCTAAACCAGGACTAAACCAGGACTAAACCATGCTGCGCGGACCGTGTCTCCTCGTCTTCTATCAATAATATTTTTTAATTTGGTTCAGTAAAGTTTGGGCTTTTTATTTTCTTTTATCAGACAAAACTTCTTATGTGAAAATATCCTCGTCTTTGTTTCTCTACAGCAAACCAAGTCATCCAAAGTATTCAGATTACATTACTCACTTTAAGTAATTTAATGGATTCCGTTACAAACTACATTCTGGGGTATGTAATCTGTAATCTGTAGGGGATTACATTTTAAAAGTCACCTTCCCAACACTCCTTACTACAGCAGATATATTTCCCAGATACATCACCAGACGTGTTTGGAATTCCATATCCTCGTTAAGGTTGAGTTTAATTGTTCCTAATATACCTTCATTTTCAGGCAACTCCAAAACTCGTGTGTGATCAGCGTCCATTTCTCCACCTTCACTAGAATCATGTGGAGTATTTCAGTTGTGGAGTTGCTTATCTCTACAGGTAAAATGGAGGTATATTTTTAACACTCACAAGAGTTAGGTGAAATGTTATTTGAGGAAGTATCCTTCAAAAAACTACACACATAAATTCAAGTGCATTGTACAGACACTTCTTTGCAATCTATATCAGACAAGATTCGCTATTGAAACTAACTTTTATTTAATTGTTTTAGCCTCTCAGAGACCTAATTGATAGACTATTCACAAAAACGAGCCGAAGGTACATTTAGGTCGTGCTTGTAGGATTCGTAATAGCCCAACTTTGTTCAAAAATGGCCGCACGCCTCTTTACAAGTTCAATTTAGGAGAAAATTAAGGCTTCTCTTTAAAATGATGGCCGGATAAAAAGACGCTATGAAAAATAATTTGAAAGAGATAAAAGACAAGGTAATGACCTAGACGGCGCAGAATGGGGACTACAGCCTCCAGAAATAAAGCATTGAGTTGGCGTTGGCGGCAGGATTTTCTTCTGACTTGATTATAGAGATAGCAATCACCATTTTACTCCCCGAAACTCCCCCTGCATTGATAGAAGCATAATCGAACTCCCATGAAAAAATCTTCCAAGGCAAGTTTCGCCGTCTTTCGCACACCGTTTCAAACCCGATAAATGAATGCACTATAAACAAAAACATGTAAAAATTGAGAATAGCGAAGCAAGCCAGTTGGGCGTACATGTATTTAGACACAAAACGCCCTGACAGCATCCTTGGAGAGATTTAATTTTCCCTCAAGTGGCTGCCTCCAGTCTCTTCGAAAACTATGTTGTCTGTTTTTGCACAAGGTTCCCCACTCGGAGGATGCGAATCTCTTCAGGCGCAGTTCAAGTGTGTAATCTTCGGTGTCTCAAGGTCGGCCTTTGTGAGCACTCTTAAGGGTCTTCATTCAAACACGGGAGACAAGAAAATTAATCGGAGGCAATGTAAAAAGTGTTGAGGGATTGGCGTGCCGTGCGAGCGGTTGTACATGACGGGAAAAAGAGGGAGGTAGGGACGGTTAGAGGGAAGGATGGAGGGAGGGATGGAGGGAGGGGTCAGAGCTCAGCTGCAGGGGTTCGGGGGGAGCGCGGGATGAAAGAGGGAGATAAAAGGTGAGCGGGGAGGAGGTGAAGAAAAGACTCGGGTTGGGCTCTCGATCACAGTCAGGTTGAAAAGGGGGAGCGCGCAAAACGTTTGTGTGAACGTTCAAGGGATTGTACGTTTCACTGTCGCTATTCATGAGTCTACGTTCTATATGATGCCAGGGCGAGGGTTGCACAGTATCGAGAATCAGATACTAGTCGATGCTTGAACTAGTATCGGAG